GATTCATTTAAATCTAAGGCTTAACTGAAACATATTGTCTTTAGGCATTATATACAAAAAGTTTAGTGGTGATTATAATAGAGAACACGAGGAACATGATAGTCTTCTGTTTTGTCAGCTAAATATGCCTCCCTACCTTTTCCATTACTTGGTGAGGGATGTTATAATATATACGTATTGTTATATCTCTGATTAAGCTTCTTTATGCAGGGATCTATCTTACAACGAGGGCCTGACAGGATCTCTTCCAGCATCAATTGGGAATTTAAAGAAGCTAACAAGCTTGTAAGTCACTAAGTCTAATTAATCTTTTGATTTTTTTATTTTTTTATTTTTTTGTGTCTTCTCTTAATGGGAAATGTATTGTTTACCATTCTCTTCAAACCTGCTTTTGTGCTCCTGTGACAGAAACCTTATTGGCTGTGGTTTCACTGGTACAATTCCTGACACTATAGGAAATCTACAACAGCTGACCATGTTGTGAGGACTTTTACTCTAATATCAGCTATGATATAACGGTTAAACTTAAAATTTTAAATTGCTTTGTGTGGTGATCTTCCATTGTTTAATGAAACTTGATGGACAAATTTGTACTGGTTGACTATAATCACAGTTCAGCTCTGCTGTGAATTGTATTGATACTTCAATGCTTCTGCAAATTTTAATTGCAAATAAGGATGGTAACTTTGTATTTTTTTTATTAAAGAATGTTAATTTTGTTAATTTTTAAATAAGGCTATTGATTTTCAATTTTTTCTATTTAAAATGTCATCTTTCAATTTTTTTAATTTAAAGATGCCAACTTTCAATATTTTAGTAAAAAATTGTTTTTATAGTAAAAAAATATATTTATCACGTTAATATTATCATTTAATTAATTTTTAAATAAAAAAATTAAAATTGATGTCTTTACACATAAAAAATTAATGTCTTTAAATATAAAAATTTTAAAATTAATATCTTTATTTAAAAAGTAATCTCCTTTAATAAAATTTTTTTTTTTTAAAAAAAGTAAAATTAACAACCTTATTCGTACATTTTCTCAATTTTAATCGGAGCAGTTCCATGCTAGTCAAAATCTCTGAAACCCTCATTGCCTGCAGATCTCTAAATTCCAACAACTTCAGAGGACAAATTCCACCATCTATTGGTAATCTCTCAAATCTATACTGGCTGGATTTGACTGACAACCAAATAGAGGGACCAATTCCTGTGTCAAATGAAACTACGCCTGGCCTTGACATGTTGGTCAATACCAAGCATTTGTATGTTACTTGTCTTCCTAATTTTAACTCGTGTTATTATTTTCTGTTTCCTTTTTAATAACATCATCTAAAGTTTTCTCCTTTATCCACAGTCATTTCGGACAGAATCAACTTTCAGGCCAAATCCCAGAGCAAATTTTCAGCTCAAACATGACTCTGATACATGTGTGAGTTTCACTTTTATTTTCTTTAATTATATTTTGACTGCATAAGTTACCAAAAAATAAATTAGCAGAGGGCTTAAACCTAGGAATTTCCTGCAACAAACAAATGTTCCCTTCTGAATAACAACGCTTCTATACCAAAAGCAGCTAGTAGTAGCAGATTGTTTCTAGTTGTTATCTCTGAGTATGTTTGATTTAAAGGAAATGGGGGGGAGGGGGAAGGGATGGATGAGTTTTTCAACCACTCAAATTATACTGTTTTCAAATATTGCAATCAGATTGGTTAAAAAATTCATGCCTCCCCTCCATTTCCCTCAAATGTCCTTCTTTTGTTTAGTGGAGTAGCAAATCTGCCCTTTTCTTCTTTTCTCCTTCCTTTTCAGTTTTCACCAAATCACAGGCTAGATTATCGTATGTTTGAAAGCTTTCATTTCTTCTCTTTCTGCCAGGTTATTTGACAGCAACAAACTCACCGGTCCTATCCCTTCAACCCTTGGGCTTGTGCAATCTTTACTGGTGATGTGAGTATCTACAACACATGCTTAAGCATAATCGAAATGAGATTATTGTTGGAATTGGATTTTTTTGTGGGTGTGACTGAAGAAGTTATTGTTTTGGCTGCAGACGTTTTGATAACAATTCCTTAGGTGGGAGTGTTCCGTCAAATCTCAACAATCTCACAAGTCTTCAAGAATTGTAAGCATGCAAAAGATGGAAGATGAGCGGTCTTTGCATTTATTAGTTTATCTTCTCTAATAGAAAATGTTTTGTGAACTTCTTTTCAGGTATTTGTCTAACAATAACCTGAATGGCCCTTTACCCTCCCTTACTGGCATGAGTGATCTCAACAACTTGTAAGCCGTGCATGCTTTTACATAACTAAACTACCCTTTTTTTTCTTAGTCTTTTTCTCCACTTCCTATGTGTCTGCAATGCATGCACTTTATGTCTTCAGTTGAAATTGTTATTCACCAGGCCTCCTTCAATAACCTTATATAGTTGTCATTGGTTTTCATTCTAATAATATGATTGTGTTCTACAGGGACTTGAGTAATAATACATTCAGTACCTCTGTGATTCCTACATGGGTTTCATCTTTGTCATCCTTAACAACACTGTATGTCCATCTCTCTCTCTTTTAACATTGTATGAACTATTTTAAATGCAGAACCCAAATACTCCCTTATAGTCTTTTACCATCACACTTCATTGAGGACCATATGTTTTGTTAAACTATTGGCGAGAATATCTTTCCACCCCCAATGAATATTTAAAGCAGCAATATGATGTATAAAACTTAGTCATGCTAGTAAATGGTACAATAAATCCATCCCTAAATTTGTTTTCGCTCCCTCCCTCTTTCCTTCCCTCTCTTCCTTGCCTTCTCTCTTTGTTTTCTTCATGTTCATGGACACATGCCCATACTCCTATGTACATACACACTGATGGGTTTCCTTTCAAGTTAAGAGAACGATTGATTTTTTTTGCAAGGCAGAGGGATGGAAAGCACTCAACTTCAAGGTGAAGTTCCTGTCAACCTTTTCAGCCTTCCAAATTTGCAGACTGTGTGCGTATCAGCTTCACCTCATGCAATACCATTCCTTGTCCAAGATGTTCACAACTCTGGTGAAACATATTTGTTGATCCAAACCATGGAGATGATAGCTGGAGGCTAATTATTTCTATCTTTGTCACATTGTACAGGGGGCTAAAACATAACCAGCTAAATGGTACCTTGGCTATAGGTAAGGGATTTAGTAACCAATTGCGCCGCATAGACTTGCAAAAGAATCTGATTAGTGAGTTCAATGGAACAGAAGGATATGACATTCAGATAATGTGAGAGAGTCATTTCTTCTAGCTCTCCATTAATTTGTTTTTTGCTTAAGAACTTGGCTCTTATTACTTGGAGGTCAAGTTGCCTTTAGATGTATCCCCTTTGAGTGTTAAAGCTTATGAATGTCTTTCTTGGTTTAATAGATTTAATTAATTTATGCAGACTTGCTGATAACCCAATTTGTGAAGAGACAGGCGCAACAAAAACTTACTGTGTAGTTCCAAAATCAATTTCCACTTACTTGTATACTACCCCTACCAACAACTGCCTACCTGCTACATGCAGTTCAGACCAGGTTTCTAGCCCCAACTGCAGATGTGCATATCCATATACAGGAATTCTAATTTTTAGAGGAATTTTTTTCTCAGACTTGGGGAACTCAACCATATATGTGGTTCTACAGACATCTCTGATGCAGTTCTTCCAATCCAACAATCTTCTTGTTGATTCGGTTTCACTATGTAATCCAAGAATAGATCCTTCTAGATATTTTCTATTGAACCTTAGTATCTTTCCATATGGCCAAGATAGTTTCAATCGAACAGGGGTTTCTACAATTGCATTTATATTTAGCAACCAATCTTACCAGGCACCATCTAATCTTTATGGACCTTATTTTTTCGTTGGTGATGCTTACAACCACTTTTCAGGTATTTACACAATTATTATAGAACCATAATGAACTATTAAATGTAGCTCTATTTGATGTTAATCCACACTTTTATGTCATATGTGGTTTCTTCAGATACTCCAAAATCACTTACCGGCATCATTATTGGAGCAGCTGTTGGTGGTTCTGTGCTTCTACTACTTTCACTGATTGCTGGGGTTTATGCTTTTCGTCAAAAGAGGAAGGCAGAAAGAGCAAGCCTAGAGAGCAACCCCTTTGGTATGATTAGTATTTATTTATTGTAGCATATTCCGGTTGATTGCACATAAACTTCAGGTTTCTTAACCCATTCTTTGCTATACAAATGCAGCACACTGGGATGTTAAGAAAAGCAACGGAAGCATTCCTCAGTTAAAAGGTGCAAGATGTTTCTCTTTTGAGGAGCTTAAGAAATATACAAATAACTTTTCAGAGGCCAACGATATTGGATCTGGGGGTTATGGAAAGGTGTCTCTCCCTCTCTCTCCCTATAAGTAAAATTATTATTCTTTCCTAAATAAAATTGTGTTATTAACCCCCTTTCATTTGAACTGGTAATTTTACAACTTGCGAGTATTGGTCTTAGTTACTATAGGCACGTACGCACATAGCATTTTTAGACACATATATATGGAGCAAATAAGCCCTTGATGAAACTTTGGTGGCTTATCCACCCCAGAACTTATAAATAGCGGCAAATCTCCCCAAAGTGATAGAATTTGTCAGTTTATATTGGTCAATGTGTAATTTGTCTGATGTGGTATGATAGGCTGACTAAGGTCAGTCAACGATTTCCATCAACTTTGGGGAGATTTGCTGTTGTTTGTAAATTGTTAGATGGATTTGCCACCAAACTTTCATTAGGGGCTTACATGCTAGTAAAAGAATTGTTTAAGGGGCTTAGTTACCTATTTTATACTAATAGAAAATAGCACTTTTAGTTGGAACTTTTGTATTAGAAAATAATCAATGTATCGTCAAGGCCTCTCTTTTATATTAGAAAAGTTCTATGGGAGTTTTCAGCAACTATGAAGTATGATCAATGCTATAATGCTAAGTAAATCATGAACATGATATGATTAACATAATCAATTTAACTTCAAACTTTTGTGAATTTAGTAGGTTATCATTGAATCAAATTACAGAATTGTCAATGTTCCAACACTACTGTTTCTTTTCTCAAATTCATATTCTTTTGTCTTCAATTATTATCTACGTTACATTACATGATGATTAAAGTTTCAATTTTCAATCAATTACAGGTTTATAAGGGAACTCTTCCTAGTGGAGAGCTGGTTGCGATCAAACGAGCCCAGCAAGGATCAATGCAGGGTGGGCTAGAATTCAAGACAGAGATTGAACTTCTGTCTAGAGTCCATCATAAGAATGTTGTCGATCTATTAGGATTTTGTTTTGAGCAAGGTGAACAAATGCTAATATATGAATATGTTCCAAACGGCTCTTTGTATGAAACTCTATCAGGTATGTATGTTCCTCCATTTATTCCCTTGTTGACCCAACATGAATTACTTAATGTGTTATGTCGCTAGACATTATTTTTATGATTTATATGTACTATTGTTGAAAGAGCAAATGATAAGCCTCTACTGTTGAAACAGTAAAAAACAACTCAAAAGGCTTTGTAAATATAACTTAATTTTTACAACTTCTATCTTTGCAACTATCCAATGATTCTAACTAGTTATTTGACCCCTAGTATTTTTTTCCATTTATTAACTATAGTCTTGCTACAATATCTATTATAACCATGTATCAATCATTTTATCTATGACAAATGAATTTAAATTACACCCGTCACATTTCTTTCATAACAAGCTAGCTTTATGTTTAGCAAATGCTTCTTTTAATTTGCTTTATTGGAAAGTTTCATACTATGTGCAGGAAAGTCAAGAATCAGACTGGATTGGAGTAGGCGACTCAAAATAGCCCTTGGTGCAGCTAGAGGCCTAACATATCTGCATGAACTTGCCAATCCTCCCATCATACATAGGGACATTAAATCGACTAACATATTATTGGATCAGAGCCTTACTGCTAAAGTTGCTGATTTTGGTCTTTCCAAGCTGATAAGTGACACTGAAAAAGGTCATGTTACCACACAAGTCAAAGGGACAATGGTGAGTGCTTTTATACACCCACTTTAGTGGGATAATAAGGTTTAATTAGTTTACTAACGATTCTTCACTATGCCAGCTGAATTTGATCATGCTTGTGGTTTTTGTAATTGGTGTAGGGTTATTTGGATCCTGAATATTATATGACCCAGCAGCTCACTGAGAAGAGTGATGTTTATAGTTTTGGGGTGCTTTTGTTAGAGATGATAACTGGAAGAAGACCAATAGAGCGAGGGAAGTATATTGTAAGAGAGGTGAAAATGGCAATGGATAAGACAAAAGACTTGTATAGTCTTCGTCAGATTCTTGACCCATCCATTGCGGATACAAGCCTGAAAGGTTTAGAAAAGTTTGTGGACCTAGCAATGAGCTGTGTGGAAGAATCAGGAGCTGACAGGCCTACAATGGGTAAAGTGGTAAAAGAGATTGAAAACATCATGCAGATTGTCGGGATGAATCCCAATGCTGAGTCAGCCACAAGTTCGTCAAGTTATGAGGTGGCACCAAAGGGAAGTAGCCTTCATCCATACAGTGATGAGTCCTTTGCTTATAGTGGTGCATTTCCAGTTTAAAAAGTTTGAACATATGTTGAGTTGGATTTCAGTTTAGTTTTTGGAGAAAACAGCTTTTGTGGCTAGCATTTAGTTTGACAAGAGGACAGATATATATATATATATATATATTTATGTGTGTGTTTTGTATTGTATCTCTTTCTTTCACTTAATTTGATAGAACTTTGAAAATTATTGTTATTGTGTAGAAAGACGTAAAATGCTTTTAGAGCCATATGTCTCCTAATTTTATTTTGGTTAAATGTTAATTTTGGTCTTTCAACTTTATGGAGTTGCACTTTTTTTACCTCTCAACTATTTTTGCACTTTTTCGATCCTTCAATTCTAAATGCTGCACAATTTTGATCCCTTCGTCAGTTATTTAATGACATGGCAATTAAAAATTTCACAATAACATTTTCTTTAAATTCTTTTATGACATGGTAATAACACATCATACAATTTGATTACATATACAAATAAAAATGTCAAATCAGATGTCAAATTAAATTAGCATTTATATTTTTAATAAAAAATAAAAAACTATAAAGTTACCTTAATACCCCTGTCTCCCTTTTTTGTTCCATCTTCTTCCTCTCTTTTGATCCATCCTCTTCCTTTCTTTCTTCCTCTGTGTGAACCAAGCAACTACTTGCTTCCCTTAAACCCAACTGATTTAGGTTCAAGGGAACCCAATAGTTGGGTTCAAGAAACCTAGCAGATGGGTTCCATTGAACCCGAGCTGGGTTTGACAAAACCTAGTGGTTGGGTTCCATCAAACCCAGCAGATTTGGGTTCGACAGAACCCAATTGCTGGGTTCAGTGGAAGCCATTTGCTGGGTTCAGTGGAAGCTATTTGCTAGGTTCCTCAAACCTGACGAACCTAGCAAATCTGGGTTTGATGGAACCCAATGGCTGGGTTATTTGTTGCAAATGAGCAATTGAGTTTATGCAAATTGCAGGTTGTGAGGGATTCTTGAGATTCTTTTGCTTTATATTTCCTAACTATTGTCTAAATGATTTTAACATTCAAATTGGAAAGAATATCGTTGATGTTGGAAAGAACAGAAGCAGTGACCAATGGGCAAATAAGCAATTTTCAATGGGTTTCCATTTGCTTGGCTAGAAAAGTGTACAATTTGGGCGTTTGGATGCTTAAAAATTGGTTTCAATCAGTGTTTTGGAATAAATATTGTATTAATAGATGTTTGGCTACCAAGAAAATTGTCATGGTTGATAAGAAAATTTGTTGAGAAAATTGGGATTTAATTAGAAAT